TATCAGGGTGTAAGTGCAGGTCAGGCCTGATTTATGTGGCACTTCTGATAAGCAAGGGAGGAGAGCAGGATGGGGGTTTAGGAAAGCTGGTGAACTTGGCTTGACTTATGTCTTTTGCTTTTGTAGGCAGCCAACATCCCTCTGGTGTCAGAACTTGCCATCGATGACATTCATTTTGATGACTTTTCTCTTGATGTTGATGCCATGATCACAGCTGCCCTCCGGATGTTCATGGAGCTGGGGATGGTACAGAAATTTAAAATTGACTATGAGGTAAGATGTCTGTCTTGGGTGATCCAAGCAGTTCACCTGGGACAATGTGTTAGGCACTCTGAACCACCAGTTTCCCAAATACAAAATGGGGATGATAATCCCTGCCCTGCACACCTCAGGGGATTACTGTAGGAACCAGAAGAGATGTTTGTGGAAGGCCTGTGATCATTGAGGGTTACTCAGACATAAGGCACCTTTGAGATAAGGGTCCACTGGAATCACTTGCAACTGCCTGACGCACCCTCTCCCTCCCATTTCAGACACTGTGTAGGTGGCTTTTAACAGTGAGGAAAAACTATCGGATGGTTCTGTACCACAACTGGAGACATGCCTTCAACGTGTGTCAGCTGATGTTCGCGATGTTAACCGTAAGTGTGCTTAGCGATGGTGGAAGATCATTTCTCATTCACAGGAACTAGCAGGCCTTCTCCTTTACGTTTCCATTTCTCTGAAAAATTACCATGTGATCATTTTATGTTGGAACTTACCTGCCCTTGTTATGAAAGTATATATGTGCCAGCAATTTCTGAGCTTGAAAGCTATAACATCGTTGACCCCTTGAAGCCAGTGTAGCCTTGGAATGATTACTTGAGCTTCTCTTCAGTATTTTTTCTGGGTAAACTGGTTCTTTTACAAAAGAAATGCTCAGATTTTTAAAGTAATCTTTTTGTAGAGGAAATGTAGATGAGTAACAGAACAAAGAGATCACTGGATATGACTCTTGGCTGGTGGAAAGCCAGTAGGGAGGTGTGAACATCACCCACAGGAATATGGAAATCCTGAGAGGATGCCTATTTGAGAGAATGCCCAGGGAGGCCAAGGGGAAAAGAGGGGTAGGAGTGCGCGCTCTGCAGGTTTAGGGCTTACTTGCCTTAAAATCTCCATCCCACCGGGTTTTAACCCAGTGATGGTGGCCAGTCTGTTTCACGGAGATACCTAGCACAGCTGGGCAGAGGTAAGCCTTGGAATTTAATCTGAAAGCAAATGTTTGTGGCAAAGATTGAAACAAATCCTCTATTTACGTCTTTTGGCAAGAAATAAGGCTTGTTTTGGCACAATTTCTACTACATTGTTACGCTATCAAGTAAAATGTTTTCTGGCTTAAATATGTTGGTTTCTTTGGTCTCATAGTTATATATACACACGTGTACGTACATATCTGTGGGTGTGTGTAAACAAATTGCCATACCAAAAAAGAGAACGTGAGTCTTGGATTCTTCCAACATGAAGCAAATACCTTATATTTTTGCAGCCAGACTAAAATTTAAACAGAAAATCAGAGCGCCAAATGAAATGCATTTTCCTTTGGTCCAAATGAACAAAGATGATTCTGTTCTGATTCTTCCTCACAAAAAAAAAAAAAAAAAAAACTCTGCCTCATTTTCTGTCTATTAAAATTTTACTCATCCTTTAAGGCATTGATCTAAAGCCAGTTTTTCTACAAAAGTCTTCCCCTTTCTCCCAAATCATCAATAATTACTTCTTTCCCTGTACTGTATCTAGTACAACACATCTTTCTTGCTACTATGTATTTTAAGTTACAAATCTGTCATCCTCCTATAGAGTAAGGTACTGAGGGAAGAGATCATTTCTTGTTCTTTCAACAACATCTACTTATTTGCTCAACCACCATTTACTGAGGGTCGCACCAGCGCCTTGCACTCTGTCATGTACTTGGTGGGTTTTCAAAAAATGTATGTTGAATTGACATGAGCTGAAATGTGCATCTGGCATAAGAAGATGGGGCTAGAATGTCTTTTGTACTAGGGACTTGTGCTTTGGGTCCTCGACTGCTTAAGAAACAGGCAGACTGGCCTGGGAAAACTGGACTGGTTCCATTCTTCTGTTACATCCACCATCAGAGGAGTGAGCCAGTCAAGTGAGAAAGGAAGATGCTTTGAACCATGAGGCTTAATGGCTCAAGTGACAACCATTGCTTGGGAAAAAAAAAATCTTCATTTTGTTTTTCCATAGCATAACTTAGTAAACAAGGTATAATTTTTTTGTGTACAGAGTTCATGTGTCTGGCCCACAGAGGACAGTCAATAAAAAACTTCTTACCCCTTTATTTTGGAAAACCTATGGATTCATGCTGAATTACCAAAATAAGTAAGCAGGAACCCTGTTCAGTGAAGGGAAAAGAAATGGCTGTGACATTTTTGAGTTAGAAATGTCAAAGACAGAGACAGATTTTTATGACAAGACTTAAAATAGTTGGAATAGGGGAAACTGGCAAGAGCACCAGGGTTACAGTGGACACTTAGGAGCAAAAGGAAATATATACCCAGTTTTCTGCAGTGGGTACTTCCATTATATGGGCAATTTTGATCCTTTCCAAGAAATTGAAGAAAATAGAATTCTTAAACTATGTCACCACAATAGGGATGCTCATATCATCAGATTATTTCCAGGGTGCAATTGTTTTTGCAAGTATGATCAGCAATCTTGAAGAGCAGCATTGTTGGAGAAGGCTTAGGTTTTGGTTTTTTTTGCATTCATGCTAACACAGAAAGAGGAGACTTCATTGTTAAATTTCTCTAAGGAGGAGGGGTGGAGGAGATCACAAAACAGAAACATGACTTCAGAAAGAATACAACGTTATTTTGGTCTCTTTCACATTGTATTGAGTAGCCACATCTGGAAAATATAGTGTTTTCTGCTCATTAAATTTTGTTGCACTTAACCAAGGGTTACAGTCAGTTAAAAGTGTCAACATTTGTTTTTCTCTAGCATAAGTTATCTTCTCCAAACTTGACTTTGGTCAATCTGGTTAATCAGAAATTTTTAATTAAGAAAATAATTACAGAAGTAACAAAGACTACTCAATCAGTGTAGCTAAAAATAAATTTAACTCACTCATCAATTCTCATCTCTGGAATGTGACCTTGGCCTATGGTAAAATGATGCCCCATTTCTTTCCACCAATGGACACTCATGTTTTGGGCACTCCTGAAGACTCTGAAAGCCTTTCAATGTTTTGATCTTATCAGTGATTAAATTTCCATTCCAGGGATCCCATATTTCCTGTCAGTGGGTTGTGTTAGAACCAAAATTCTCTATTAATCTAGGGGGGAAAAAAAGAAAGAAAAGAAATTCACCATATACCAACCATTGGATACAGCCTGGTTAATGTCATAAAGCTAAGTGCTGAGGCTTCCTCTAGATGGCGCTCCAAGGCAAAGTTTCCCAGCTGGTTTCCAGAAAAGAGGGGAAAAAAAACCTTACCAACCTTCCTTGAAAGTGCTTCTTTTCTTCTAGCACTGAGGTACACACCCCACCACAAAATAAATGTTTTTCCTAAAAGAGATAGCAACAAAACCAGTCTGACGGAAAAAAGCCTCTCCCATCAGAATGGGCCTGTTTTATGACTGCCACCTTGCATACCATGCTGTTAACGTGAATCATAGTGTTCTCCGTGTGACCTTAAATCTGTGATTGTGTATTTTTCCAAGCCCATTGTCTCTGGGAATGGGGAGATGCATAGTTCTGTGTCACTGCTGAACAAATTTTGGCACCACGTACAACAGGACGAGCAAATTATAAATATATGCCCCAGCTTCCTAACCTTTAACCCTAAAATCACTTCATGGGTGGAAAATAAACCTATTGACTCAGCATTGTGTTTTGCGAAAGTATTCAGGTTCGTGTCTAGGTAACAAAGCGGTTTTGTTCCTTTAGATATTTAAAAGAAAAAAAGAACTACTCTGTAGGACAGGCAAATGATATAAAATGATGAGCATTTTGTTCGCTGGGAACCCTGTTAATAACTTATTAATTTGTTCCATGCCTCTGGTCTGAAATTTCACATTTATAAATTTGAAAGCTTCAATGTTATTCTTTGCTTTTAAGGAGATATTTAGGTAGTTAAAATTTCCCAAATACTTTGAATTCCTCCGACAAATACAGTAGGTAGTAACAGTTACTATTTGTGGTTAAAATGAGGAAGAAAACCTGCAGATCAGTGATCATCATATAAATTGTCTTTACTAATAGGAGTTTATAGAACAAATATTCCATCATGCACATATGTAATAAATAAATTATAACTATAAATACATGATGAAAGATGATGGACATATTTCTTAAATTCACGATGTAGACTAGATATAGGAAATGACTCTGCTTTTGTTTGTGTTCTGTAAAATAAAAGGCATGTAGTGGTGCCAAGGTTGCAGAGACATTTTTTTCGATTTTATAAATGATGTATGAGCTCTGACAGATTTTCCAAGGGGAAAAAAAAGATTTCTTTAAGAGTCAGTATTCTTTACTATCCCATAAATGTACTCATTAGCACTTTGGGCCATGCCCTGCATCCTGTAGGATATCAATAAAGATTAATTGAATGAGTGAATTTAGTTTAGGGTAATATTATTCAAGGAACCATGCTGCTCAGTGTCCAGTTAAAAAAAGCTATAAAATGATGAACAACTATCATTGCTTGAAATCGTGTTCTTTCTTCATATCACACTAAGGTTCAGCTAGGGTTCATATAGAATATTATGATCTTGCAGAATTCACTGGATATGAAAAGAGAAGAGCACATGATCACATTAAAATTTATGGTGGTGCTGGCAGCATGGCGCTGGTGGGGAATTGCAGTTAAACACTAATAATAACCAAGTATCACAGCAAACACATCGACACCCCCTGACATTTACTGGGGGCTTCTTAAATCTTAATGTGGAGGTAGCGTGTTTAAATCCATATTTGTGTTGTCAACAAGGTTATTTTCAGAGATAAGCCAAACCATTTTATTGATAATTCAAACTAGAGAGCAGAAGGGATGTTTAGGGAGAAAATCCATCCTATTCACCAGCTTGAGGCTAATGTTCTGTCCTCTGACTGCAGTTTCCAGGAAAGTCCTTGATTTTAGAGGTAGAAAATTCCTTCTGGAAGATCTTAGAAGCACAGCTGAAACTCCTCCCTCCCTGTCCAAGAAATACAGAACCAATTGAAATTTTAAATAAAAGATTTTTATTCAATAATCAGAATCCTACTCTCAACAGAAATTGAATTCCTTTGTAGACTGTAACACTGGAAGTTACAGAGAGAGAGATCTAGATGTTTTGTTCTGTAAATGACTAAAATAAAGTAATAAACAGTCATCATATTTGTAATCATCAAATATTTTTACATTGCATTTCCTTATCAATAAAAGTAGTAACTTGTTATATTTACTTTAAAATAAATGGCAGCATTATCGTAATAATATAATAAAATCTACATGATAGAACAACCAACTCTTTAATCTTCAGGCAGATGTAACCTACAAGATGGCAAATTTTTAATTTAGAAAAGGAGTAATTTTTAAATGTTTTTGCAGAATATCAGCACCAGACACAATAATTTAACTATGGGGCTAATCAATTTGAATACTATGTTTAAATTACATTTAAGACTCCTGTCTTTTAATCATTTAAAAAAGGTTTCTATTTTTATTCTCTCTGACTACATCTCAGAGCCCCAATTAGGCACTCTATGCTTCCAGCTGACATTCCCTTTATCCACATTTATTTTATAAAAGAAAAAAGGCAAAGCTGCACATAATTAAGAACCTGGTGTGCTAATAACCAAACATACAATTGGGCAGAAGGATAATCCAATCCATTTCTTCTCACAGGAGAGTAACCTCCATAACTCACTTTAAGCGCTGCCATTCATGAGTTATGGGTCATTCCCTTTCTAGTGAAAATAAATTCTCCCGCACCGTCAGCCAGAGCTGGGTATTTTTCTTAGGACATGTAAATTGTAAAAGTGTATGAACATAATCATGTCCGACATTACAGGGAAAGTATAACCTCTTGCTCATGGACACAGGCTTATACGTAAATGTATGTAGTTTCGAGGCTGGGTCTGCCTAGTTACAATGTAGGATTTTTGATTAAAGTAAATTTATTCTTGAGATTTTTATGATATTGGTAAACTGCTTAATCTGTCGGTTTGTGTTTTATGACGCCAGTCAAATCCTCCAGGTCAGGGAGACCCAGCAGCAGAGCCACCGTCATTTATCACAGCCTCCATTTTCCACGGTGTATGATTTCCTAGTGGCACTTTCTTGGGACTGAAACCTGGCACCTAAGGGTGTTAAGTTGGGATCTATAAAAAGTTTTAATTTTTCATGGGTCTCATGTTTAGTTTTGGCTCAATTATGGCTAATAAAAATTGGGGTAAGCTTTGAAGAAGCCTCAAATTCTTGAAATTCACCAACCTGGGCTCTGTGGCATTTTGAGAGATCTGTCTTTCTACACAATTAATGTGCACCAAGTGATCTGCTTCATTTTCTATGGTCATAAACCATATGTTATATTATATGCAGTTCGCTGGTAATTTATCAGAAATAAAATATAAATTATATTTCTAAACATGGACAAAACATGCCATCCTTGTCCTCAAAAAAACATCGTAAAGCACAAGTATTGTTAGGGTTGAAAGCTAAGTCCTTAAGAATCTGATACTCTTTTTCTTTTGGTTCTTTTTAAAATGCATTATATGTGCTATATACATACAGCTGTGTTTATTTATTATCTTTTGATGTAGAAACCTCAACTTTCTCAAGTCTTATTATTTAGTTGAAAATTTCTTTATACTATTTGAATATCTTTTTGTACATTTTATCAAAATAAGAGAGCAGAAATATATTGAGCAAATTTTATTTGACCACATTAGGACTTCCTGAGAATGAAATAAAGAGTGTTGATGGATACCAGAGGTTTGCTTTGAAATACTCTAGCAAACAAACAAAACAAACACACGCTGCATGTGAAGAGACAGATGAAACAAGTCACAAAACCTGGATTCCTGCTGAAGTTAGTCTATGACTGCATTGGGTTCATTATATTAATAGTATTCTATTTTTTGTATGGTTTTAACTCTCCAAAATAAAGAATTTGAAAATTATGCTAAATAGGTTAAAAATTAAGCCTTAGAAGTGGTTATAAATGTAATAGAATATAATAATAAAGTTATATATGAATTAATTCAATTTTTAAATGTATGCTTCAAACATCTACGCAACATATATAATTGTACCAGACTGTGTTGCCTTTCTGAGACTTACATGGACAAGCACTTGCAACCTTAGTTGAGGCTAAGGGTCAACATATTCCCAAAACATGACTAAGGTTTTATGATTTGATAGTAAGTGCCTTCAGAAGCTTCTGGTTGGGAAAGAAAGTCAATTATGTATAGACTGTAAGGTCTTTCCAACTCTGAGCTTGGTAAGGAAAGGATCATTTAGGCCTAAATCAATATTTGGTTAATATCAGAGCAATATTTGGCTGCATTCATCTTGAAAAGAAAGAGAAGCAAATTCAATCAAAACTATCCCGTTCCCATGGATAATTAAACAACCTGCAACTGGCTTGTTGCATTGTGTACTCTAGTAAAGGAGACATGTGAGCGTGTTGGTCCTGGATGGTGATTCCCTATCAGCTGGAAAGGTTCTGGTCTCTGGACCTCAAAATGGGGCTGAGGTGCCCCCTTTTCTGCTCAGCAGACCCAAATATTGGTAGACAAACATTACTGTAAATGCCAAGGGAGTATGACCACTAAATCTAGATGCTGTAGTTTGCTCAGTAGGGATTTTTTCCCTTCCATTGAAGTTTGTGGTTGCATACCTGTTCTCCCCCTTATGCTTTCATCACACACTGTCTCTGATTGGCAAAGGTAAGATCCTTTTTTAAAAAGAAGGTATGCTGCGACAGCCAGTAGTATAAATACTCATAAGCACTCCTAGTAAGCAGTTGAAATCTGCTTCCACTCCAAAGCTTGAGACAGTCCTCTGCTCAATATTATTGCCTTGAAGCATATGGAACAGTTTGATACCCATCAGGCTGCCCCTAGGATCTATATGTTGAGTGGTTGCCATTCCATCACAAAGCAAATAAAATAGGGTCTCAAAAAGAAGCATACTGTGCTTGCTGTCCATGCACACGGAGCCCTAACATTGCCTTAACAATTCTCTGATCACCGTGATCCACCCATGACTGGTATGTGTGCTGAACTGGGGGGTGATTGAAGGCACCCTTCTTATAGAACCATCAGCCTCCATTAGGAGATATAAGTTTCACAAGCAGACTCTTCATGTTAAGGATGACTCAGCAAAGCTGGACCAGCCATCAGCATTGCAAATTGGGGCTTTTTTTTTTTTTTTTCTTAAAATGATATGAATATCTTGTTTGTGACATTTACAATGAAACCCTCAAAGAGCAATTTTTGGCTGAAATAAATTTGATTTTAATAATGTACCAAAGACTCCAGACAGTGACCCTGCAACACTCTATGTACCAGAAATTTAAAAATACCAAAAATTAAATGCTGCTTCTATAAATACTGCCTTTCTCCTCAAGCTCATAAGGCCTTAAAATTCGAGCCATCTATAGATCAGCGAAGGCACGATGACACAGATTAGGAATATGGTGTGCAGATTCTTCTAGAGGAGGCACTTCCTTGAGAAACCATGTCTTTCAATACCCTTGGAATTGTCTGAGCCGTACTTTTTCCTCTTCTGTCCAAAAGAGTGAGAAAGATGAAGAAGAGGAAGAAAGACTCCAAAACCTATCATATTGTCCCTCAACCTTAGCCAATTCACTGAGGGCTCTGCTGCAGTGCCTGGACATCAGAATTCATGGTGGAGCATATGGAGCCTACCATCTTCAGCTTTAGGGTGTCTGCAACCACTAGGAATTTCTAGATACCCTCTCTCTTAGTTTGCCATCTGCTAGATCTCAGAATCAACAGGATGAACTCATCAGGAAATCTCTTATCATTCAATACCTTCGATAGTTGGGTTCAAAAAGAAAGGTGAGAACAGAATTTCTGGCATCACTTTCTCCGATTGCTGAGCCAGGACTGCACACACGGCAAGGGCGTGCAGTCCATGGTGTACCTTCTCCAGAAACCAAGCAGGAGGAGCTGGATGTTTCTACCAGTCCTCTCTTCCACAAAGCACAACCAACGTTATGACAGCTTCTCTTTAGAAAAGAGTGCTCTATGGCACTGTTCTGCTGGCTCAAGAGGTAACCAGATTCTATGTGCAGCAAGGACCGGCTGTCTTCTTCACTGCTCTGTTCCTAGTGCCAGGAAATCAGTAAATAATAAATATTCGTTCAATGAATGAATGGACACTTTTCAGAGTATCAATATTTCATTTCAAGCTGGGACAGTTTGATGAAGCGTGGGTTAATTCTTGAAACAAAAAAGAATATACAAATACACATACACACATGTATAAATATAGATGTTCTTATAAACAAATGTTCTTTATGGAAATTTTAGACACAAAGGAAAAATTTTAAGCCAACTGTAATTCTATTACTGATAATATCTTGATGTACATCTTAACAGTATTTTTCTCTACATATATTTAAACATTTTATAAAGTTGAGATACTATAAACTATTGTATCTTTCTTTTCTCTCTACACCTCATTTGTAAAGCACTGTATGTTATCAAGCACATACTGATGTGACAGAGCCATATTTAAACTAAAAATGTCCAATGGCTCTGCAATATCAACCTCTTCCTACTCAAGAATGATGTCCTTCATGAAATAAAGCACACACCGAGGGATTCTTTACAGCCCTATTGTCTAACACTGTATCATCACAATAGGATTTAAAAGCTGTGCAACTGAACCCACACCTCCACTAAGGGGCTGTGTAGCACAGTGAGTAAGAACACAGACTCGAGAGCCAGGCTACCTGGGCTTTTATCCCACCTCTCTTACTGTATAGTCTCGTAACCTGGTGCCTCAATATCTTCATCTACAAAATGGGAAGATAAGAACAGTTACCTACCTCAGAGAGTTCTTGTAAGGATTAAATGAGCTAATGAATGTGAAGTATTTAGGAAAATGCCCAGCATATACTAAGTGCTATACAAGTTAACTGTTGTTGACATTATCCCAGGCCTCTTCTCAAATATACCC